TTATGATAAATGGAGAAAATATTAAAGATGGCAATGACTTCATTTTTCTTCGATCCACCATCAACACTCAAGAAAGCAGCAGTCAATCAATCAAAGATAAATATGTTGCACAAGACCTCTTTAAACTGTTCCAGAGCAAATATGTCAGTTTGAGGACTAACGTGTGGCTGACCCAAGCCATGGCATTTTCAATAGCCTCAAAGGAATGTGAAAGTTATACAATGAATAATAAGGACTGTAGAATAATTGATGTATTTAGTTACAGAGTTGGAGGAGAATATTAAAAGTGCCATGGACTGCGAGAAGAGCAAACAAATCTGCATTGGAAGATGTACACCAAGAATGTTCTTTAGATTCCAGGATGGTGAGACTTCTTTTACTTCACACATATTATCAGGAGAGACCAGTCCCTGGAGAAGGACATCTTTCTTGGAAAATTGGAGAGTTGATAAAAAGAGGAAGACACCCAACATGATGGATAGGTACAGTAACAGCAGAAAGGGGCTCAAGCATAACAACGATTGTGGGGTTCCTGCAGGAATAGCCAATGTTTTATTCAGTTGGGAAAAAAAGTATCTGAGTCATAATTGCCTCAATGGCACCTAACAATAACAACATTGGAAGACTCTGGATTTGGAGTCAAGAGTTTTAGATACAGGTATAGGAAAGGTCACTGGACAACTGGATCTGTCACAGAATTGGGTTCTAACATACTATGATTCTGTGGAAACATATTCAGCAGAATCACCTATTCAGTGGAATTTGTAAATTATGAAAACATAAACTATGTAAGGATAAAAAGATTTCTTCAGAATGTCTAGCTAAATTTTTAGAAATGAGTATCAGGAACTACTGGAAACAAGAATGGTTCCATTTTAATTTTGAATTTCTAGAACCCAGAGGATATTGTCAATTTAAATGTAATGATCCATAATTTGCAAATATCACTCAACACCTGAAATAAAACAAATCCATATTGATTAATTTATCTTTCAACATAAACTTCAAATTAATACTGTTTTATATATTTTAGGAAAATTTCTAACCAATATACTTTTTAATCTACTTTAAAATGTTCTCAATTTCAAGTTGCACGATTGTTGACTCTAGGTGTCTATGACATTCAATTTTCAGACACTCAGGTACTTATAAACTCTGAACAAAGTAATACGTATTGTAAGAAATCATTGCCATATATCATAATGTGTGTACTTCATTCCTTTCAGCTCTAGCACTTGAAATAAAAAATCTCTCACCTTCATACTCCCAGAGTTCGTTAAAAGCTTGTCCTGGTGTCCCTGGTGGTGCTGGAGGATCATTAAAGAAAGGAGCGTGCACTTCCATCACTAAGCCTTGAATAGCGGGTTTGAATTTGAGAGATATAGGTGTGTGCGTTACTTGAATGCTATTCCACGTTTTAGTAATTTGGTATTCCAACTATCAAAATGAGACAGAAGAGAAAATGAAATAAGTAAAATAATGTATTTTTTGCTCTCCTGGTCTTGATCAAATGGAGCTCAATTAATATTTTTTACTAATTTCCCTAGGACAATAAATACTCCATCAGATGCTAAAGAATTCTATTAATTGCAGTATCACATTATTATATTATAATCATCCCAGCAAAATTTGCACAACAATTATTTGAGAAATTGTTTCATATTACTTAATACATAAGATACTGTACTTAAGTGATACTTATAATGTTTAATTATGTAAATTTATTTCCATTCACTTTATAAGTAATTTTTGAGGACATACTATGTGGGCTCCATCTCACTAGATCCTAAACAGAATTTTCACAGTAAGTAGATATAATTTATGCCCTAAAAGACTGTATCTTTATAATTAAAAATAAAACAAGATGAGAATCTCCAAAGTAATGAACAGTTTAATTAAGCATAAACTAAAGAACCTGATTGGATAGCACAGAAAAGTAATAGAAACTTGCCTATAAATATGGGTTGGAGTATTCAGAAATGCCCTTCAGGACTGGAGTTATAAAGGAACAACCGTATGTTGGATATAACTATCTCACGGATATTTAGTTTGCCTACTTTAATTCCAATGTTTTGAGAGCTGAAAGTAATGATTTATCAAAGCTTGCATTTATTGGTCACATTTCATGCTAGATACATTTCTATACATTCCTCCAAAAATGTACTTGAATATTTTTCATATGTTTTTGTTGATGTTATTAGGCACCATCAAGTCAGTTCCAACTCATAGTGAGCTTATTATGCACAACAGAATGAAATACTGCTTGGTCCTGGGCCATTCTCACAACTGTTATGTTTGAGCCTATTGCTGCTGTCACTGTCCATCTTGTTTGGGGGGGGGGTCTTCCTCTTCTTCTCTGATTCTCCACTTTTGTATGTAGGCACTCCGTCAGTGCTTATTAAGTGCCAATCAATTAATACAAGAAATTTATCATGTAACCATCATCTGCCATGTTTTCTACTGTCATGTTGGAAATACAAAGCCAAGGTATTTTCTTTGCCCTCAGGTCACTTGCAATTGGATAGAAAATACATACTTATAGACAATATATGACAAAACAATGCAAAACATGCTTTAATAGAAGTATGTGCTCACTGAGCAGGAAGCTTCCAGCTATGATGATAGGAACTGAAAAGTAGAGAGGTCAGCAAAGACTTCACAGAAGTTGCAATTGAACAGACTCTTATAAGATGCGTAGGAGCAGAACAGGAAAGGAAACAAGTATATTGCAAATACAGCAAGCAAGATGAATAAAAGCACAGAGCCATGTGAATATTGAAAGGAGATCTAATCGAAATGGAACATATGGTACATGTCTGTGTGGTTGGAGTATGGATGGGGGAGAGAGAGAAATGACACTGCTGTAGAGGGGCACAGATCACCAGAACCTAACAGAATTTATACTTAAAGCCATATGGAAATACTGAAGGATTTTAAGCAGGCAATTAAAATGGCGAGGTTTATGTTTAGAAAATCACTCTGGCAGATGTATAGAAGAACAAATATAATACTCTAAGAAATTTGAAGTCTTATTCAAAATTTATTTTTCTATTCTGATTTCTCCTAACTACACTAGTAAGCTTTTATTTTCAAAGTTATAGTCTTCATTTCAAATGATTCTTATGACATGTATATATGAGAAAAGGATCTTAAAGAATAGAATTGAACTCAATTCAACAGAAATGGAATGCTTTATTCCTTCTCTACAACATAATACTTTTGAATCTCCTAGTGCTAGATACACTCATGCCTTCTCAATTATTCATTTCTCATTATGTAAAGAAAATTAACCGAAGTAATTCTGACTGAAAGAAAGAAAAGCGCAATTTGGAGCCAAGAATAAATTACTGCAAGCGTTAAAGGCTATAGGTTTAAACAGACATTTAGAACACTATGCCATCATAAAAGCAAAAGAAATTCATCTGCACAAAAGTTTAAAACTCCATATATTCAGTGGTATGATTGTTCTTTTACTCCTAAGTATTTTCAAATTATGTCTAGTTCTGTACTACTTTTGCTTAGAAATAGAGTTGGAACAATTTTTTAACTGCATTATGTTGAGTTCTCTTACTCTCACTCTCTCTTTATTTTTGAATAGACTGTGTTCTTTCTGCAGGAGAAAGATGTGGCAGTGTACTTCTGTAAAGATTTACAACCTTGACAACCCTGAAGGGAAGTTTTGCTCTGTGCTATACGGCCTCTTATAGGGCCTCTGGAGTCCTGGTGTGTGAGATAAGCACTGGACTGCTAACCACAAGGTTAGCAGTTCAAACCCACCAGCTGCTCCTTATAAATCCTATAAAGAGTTGCTATGAGTCAGAACCGACTTGATGGCACTAAACAGCAATAACATAGGGCCTTCTGGAGGCTTGGTATAGTGTCATAAGATAAGCACTTGACCTCTAACCATAAGGTTGGCAGATCAAACCTATCAGCCACTCCTTAGAAACTCTATACAGGGTAGGAAACACTAAACAGGGTAGCTAGTAACTGACTAGATGATAAACAACAATAGGCCTCTGTGAGTCTCAATCAATTCAGTGGCAAACGGATTGAGTGGGGGGCGGGGGGCGGGGAGGGAGGTGTTCTTTCTAATATCCCCAAATGGTCAATGGCATTCCTGTGGTAATTTGAACATTTCTATTAAAATGTTACCTATAGTAAAAATTTGAAGTGTCAACATAGCATTGTAGTTGAAAATTCAGTTGTTATATTATTTAGAAATATCAAATACCAATGAGAAAATTCTCACCTGTGGTATAAAATAAAACAATTGTGAATGGAAACATACTTCAATTTTTTTTTTTAGTATGGTATTGAACATCTTAAGATACATTCTCATCTATAAAACATATTTTGAACATAAAGTAAAGCTTCAATGCAAAATAAATCATTCACAACATTTTTAGGTACCT